TCGATCCACAAAAGAAAGGCAATCATTCGACATGAATATATCTTTGAATAATGGAGGCCCACACTTCCTACAATAAAATGTTTTATGTATCGGTATTATCCCGTATAAATCGCTTTATGTGTTGCTACGACTAATTACATACGTCGACATTTGATAACTGATCGATGGTTAAATTCTATGTTGCTCGATTTGGACTTTTATTTTTAGAACAACGATGTAGTTCGTTAAAAGTATTTTATTTATAGCAGTTCAACCTCAACCTTTACTTCGGTCGTTTTCTACAACTTTTGTACCATTACCTACTACTATTTTCTATCTACAAATGGTACTTTTAGAATTACTACTGAGTTCTTACACTTCGAAGTAACTCTGCGCTGCGGTGGATATTTTTCCACTTAGTTTCCGAATCTAATAGCATTAATTACGAGGCGGCAGTGAAGCGCGGCGGAACGAACCGGGCCCTCGGAGGTCCGGAGGGACAAGAGGGACAGGAGGGACGAGGACCTCCTCCAATAAATCAATTTAATTTAATTCAATTTGAACCGAGCTTCCTAACGCTCCGACTATTCGGTAGAGTCACGCGAGCAAAGTAATAGATGTTATTGTTAGCAATCTTTTTTAATATAAATACATTTTGATAATCAAAACATATTAAAGGTAATTTTTATGTGAGATTTACTGCGCGGTTTTAATACGTTCCGTTCGAGATTTGTTGTATATTGCATTTCTAATAACAGACAAGTTTGACTAAATGTAAGAAGTTGTAAATAAACATTTCAAACATGATGTCGAACTACAGAACAAATTCTTATTAACATACTAGACCTCTTTTCAAATCGGAGTAAAAAGAGAAAAATTTTCAAAAGGTGCCTGCTTTCTGAGTGGTCACAGGGTACAGGATTATAAGATTTGACTCATTAAAACCTGGCATTCGCTGCAAACCTGGCAACGAGTGCAACATAACGCACAGGACGATATGCTAGACCATCAGCAAAGACATATATTGTTGTGTTTCATCGCCATACAACGTGGCGAGGCAACTTTGTTATATAAAATGGATTATATTTTATTTCATTTTATTGTTTAAAAGTAGTATGTTAAAAGCTAGGCTATCGTCATATCATCGGATTAAAATCACGGCTGATAATCAATTCAAAAATCACAACACAATTAAACAAAACAATAAAATTATCATAATCCAAAAGCTAGCGAGAGATCGATGTATTATTTATCATCATAACGGTGCACTACACAGAGAGCGACGTACCGGCTCACGTCAACGGCTAATTCAATTTCTTCACTTCAAATTAAATTTGATCTGTAGCCGAGCGGGTGTTCTCAGTCGCATTATATAATACGTGTACTAATAACAAAGCGTCGTAATACCAACACGGCCGGAGTCGGAGCCGACAGCCGACTGCGTCAGCCGACCACACAGCGAGCGCGCCGTCACGTCTCCAATGAGATCCGTCCCGCGATGACATCCTTGAAATGTTTTTAATAGCGTGATTTATAGAGCAAATTAAACATTTGACTTGGCGTGAATTCGACGCTGAGTGAATCCGACACGCACGGACGCGACATCGACACGATGCGCTGGCCAATGATAGAAGTACACTCACGTAACAAAACGCTTTACTATCTTGTACTAGAAGAAAATATTCTAGATGTACCAAATATCCCCATCATAAAAAGAACTTTCATATTAGGAGATTATTTGTGGTTCACCAATATCAGTTTAAAATAAACTTTTTGATTTATCAAAATTATATCGTTAATAACAACTCCAAAAATTGTTTCTATGAAAAATATTAGTACACAACAACTTAATAAAAAGAAAAAAAATAACAGAGTGTACATCAACCGCCCAACAAGATTTTTTTCCCATTCGGTCAATGGATTCTTTGGGTACGATCAGCCAAATGGGAAACAAACAAACATCAGTAATATGAAAATATATTTTCCCTTACAATTGAAGTTTTAAGTAACAATTGAGGGACAGAAGAGGACCAAAATCTGACGTGGCGACCAGTATATTAGATGTGCAAATAGCCTGTACATAATATTACAGGTATTTTCTTACCTAACCTAATAGCACTTTTAATCCTACCTGTACTTGTGTCCGCGGCGGGTTGCCTCTGCTTTACGTCAACGGTCGCAACTGATTAATACGTGGCTACCGAGTGCGGAGGTTTTTGTGGCGACGCGACGACATCGCGCGTGTCCGTGAGAACCGAGCTCCTAAGCCGATCGTCTATCTCCAGAATTGTTAAAGAAAAGTACGGACAGCTAACTCATTGGATGCGAGATTTACCTTTTTAAAGCTTCCACCTGTGGGCCTAGCACGGAATTCAAGAGCCTTCCTTTAGAATGAGATATTTGGTTTACTTTATGCACGAAATTGGTGCTGCACAAATCTCATACAAATTTTGTCGTGGACGATGCGGTGGCGATTGTCACAAATTTTCTTGCTAGGCCCACAAGTCCTTTTCTTGTGTTTTTGACTTCTTTCTCCCATCGAACACAACATTTTATTGGAAAGAATTGTAATTGGCGCACTTACTAATAAAAGTTAAGCAGCCATGTTTGTTGACCTGCTGTTTGTGAAAAAATAAGTGTGCATAATCATGTTTAATAATTTTAGTGTCCTTATTTTAATTAATGTAATATTTGAAAACGTCTTTACAATTTCTTAAAGGAATCCTCCAATAAAAGTGATTATAAATATCCTGTTAATTATGAACAGGGTTGTCACCCTAATTTTAATTCGATTAAATGCTCGAGTAGACTGCGTCGGCGCAGCTACGATCTATGAAAGTTTAATTTATATAAATTAACAAAAACGTTTCCGTTTCGACTCCGATCGTCTGTTTTAGAAAAAAAATGATTTCCTACTTGTCCTAATAAAAGTATGACTAGAGTGACACAGTTTCTGTTCTTCTATTTTATCATTTTCTCTATTACTTCAGAATTTATTATAAATATTTTATTAAAGTGCTTAAGACCAGACAGTCATTTGGTCTCGTTTTATTTATCATCCGATTTCTAGTTACCTAGATATAGTAAGCTATTCCTTAACAACTCTGAGTACAATTGTTAGAACAAAATAAAGATTTTACTTGAAAATTATTTAAGACAGATTTAACAACCCTACTTAAACCAACTTCGCGACAAACTAATAACAGAGCGATCTAGTTCGCAGCGTATTTTAAACGCAAATGACCGTGTTTACAGACGTGCTGAGCTAACATTATTGCTTTCCAGTTCATTTCCAGCAGTAGTTTTAAATACCTGTTTACTTTACCAAGAAATAACTAATAAACATACGCAAATAATATATTATCCACTACTAGCTGTCGCCCGCGACTCCGAGCTCGGAAAATTAAAAAAAAACTTAATAAGTAGCCTATGTGTTCTTCCCGACTATGTTCTACATCTGTGTGCAAACTTCAGCGACATCCGTAAAGCCGTTCTGAAGATCCATCCATCCATCCATCTAGATATACACATTTGTAATATTAGTACGATATCTTTTCTCAAATATTGTCAATAGCTATTCTTTTTAATAAATTTATCTGAAAGTTAATTTAAAATGACCAAAAAGATATTTATGGCAACTATTTTCGTATTAAATTTCAGAAGCAAAAACTTTAGTGCAATCATTGAAAAAGGTGTTTTAAAGCATCATTTTAGCTGCACAATTTTGTACGGTTTCTCGTATTAATTGTCGAATCAGGCCCCGGGCTATGGAACATAAATAATAAAAAGTGGCGCGCACCCCCAAACCACCCCTAAACTCCGACACCGCGCATTACATGGCACAGCCTAAACGAATTGAAGAAAATGATTTATCGCTTGCTTGATCGAAATTTAACTTTATAATATGATTATATTGTTATTATAAATATGTATTTTACATACATATATTAATTTTTAAAATATTAATGTAAAGTAATTTTAAAGCTTAATTAAATAATTCCTAAACCAACATTCACGTAGAGTGTATGAATTTCTAAAAGACTATAGAGGTGAGTTAGGTCTGAGCCAAGTAGAAGTCCGTGATCTCTGCCTATCCCTTTGATTAACAGGTGAGAGTTGTTAGGTAGTTTAATAAGTATAACCAAATTTTGAACTTCGAAATTCTGTGGTGATTTTATATCAAAATTGGTATAAACTATAGCCGACACCTTTCAAGCTGCATTATTACATGACGAATTATTAATTTAGACATATTTTAAGGTTTATCAAATAAGTCACGTTTTTTGTGATTGAATTGCCACTATTTGCCTTGTTTGCATTTACAGCTTCACCGGGCTTGAGGTGGCCGAGCGCAGATGGCACTTAGCCTAAACCTCGTTTAAGAGTAACTAAGCTCGAGGGCTCCCTCAAGAACCTCGGCTCGGGCTGTCACTTCGTTTTTATTATCGGATTGGGAGGCCGCCGAGCTCTTAGGTCGCTACGCTGGATGCTCCATGGAGTGACGGGGCTCAAGAGCCCTCGAAAGAGGAATAAGTCACGTGTATTCGAATAAAACTATGAAGATTTATACATTAGAATTTATTAATTGTTTTAGAGGTAATAACAATAATTTACAATTAAAAATACTTCGTATCTGGTCTTACTGCAATAAATAATTTAAATATAAACAATTTTAAAAATAAACGTAATCGTGTATTTACATATCATTGTTAACAAGACTCCGAATATTTTAGAAGACTTTGTGTGTGTTCTCTGAATACATATACAATATAGTTGGCTAACACTTATAAAGTTTTTGTATACTATCCTGGATCAATCATGTGAAATAGCACCATTTCTAAACGACATGAGAAAAAGCAGGTTTTGATATTTTCGATTTTTTTTTTACTTTTTATTTTTGACAACTTGTAGTGTATGTAGTTAAGATACCGAGCGATTGTCTAGTTTCCATTAAAAGCTCATTTAACAATATTTCTAAAGATTTTAAGTTAAATAAATATTATAATCATGACTAAGAAAATACGACACTAACAAATATTTGCCACAGTTACAAGCTACATCAACTACCGATGTTCTGTTAGATGGTAACCGCCGAAATTATGTATACTTGGATTAAAAGGGAGTGTTAACTGTAAAGGATTGAATAAGGGAATCTGAAAACAGATGGGAGCGGGCCACATAGCTGCTGCCATAGCCAACACCTCGGGTTGGTATGGGACCAACGTACTAGTATCGTCCCTTACCACCGAATTCTCACTCGATTCTAATTCACCGTCACTAGATAATAAACTGTCTATTGTAAATGACTTCTTATGTTTCACTTTAGTCGTACAAGAGTCCGGCTGCGTCACGTGGAAGGGTCCTAGCGGCGGTACACGCGCTGCGCTCTGGCCCGACATGAAGAGCTGGTTGAAGGTTGCAAGTGCCGCCAGCTCCACGTTTAGGTTGTCCTTCTCGCCCTTGTGCAGCTTAAAGCGCTTGCGACGGCGTAGCAGCGAGCCATTCTCGAACATGTCGAAGGCCTGCGGATGCAGCGTCCAGTAGGCGCCCTTGCCCGGCCGGTCTGGCCGCCGTGGCACCTTTACGAAGCAATCGTTGAATGAGAGGTTGTGGCGCAGCGAGTTCTGCCAGCGCTGCGTGTTGCGCCGGTAGTATGGGAAACGGTCCGTGATGAAGCGGTAGATCTCTGACAGCGGCAGCATACGCTCTGGGGAGCTCCAGATCGCCATCGCTGTCAGAGAAATATACGAGTATGGAGGTTTCTGTTCGGAGTAGGAGTCGCGCGACGGCCGCGGCATCGTCGACGACGCTAGTGGAGTCACGGTTCGCGGCGAGCGGTAAAGCAGGCGTGGCGCGGCAGGCGGGGCCCCGGCGACTCCGCCTCCGCTCGGCGAGCCCCCGCCCCGCGCGCGCTCGTTGTCCGCAAATAATATGCTAACGAGGCCGCCGCTCGCCGCATCTCTCTCTTGCGGCGCGGCAGATACTATCATTACTACAATGATTGACTGCGCACTTACCGCCTGTTGGTTTTATAAGTAGGTGTCTACTTTTATCGCACTGACTGACTGTTCGCAAGTTTTAATAAATTTCTTCATGTACTTTGATATTCCATGAATGTAAATGTATTTCTTTTCGTAAATAACAAGATATATTTTAAGTTAATTTGTATAATATATTTGTCTGTTGATGGTAGATTACATTTTTTTGGATTCTTTTTAATTTTTAAGCACTGAAGTAAAAATTTAATTTTTTATCCATACTACCACATGTGTATCATCATTCTTTACTACAAAACTCAGATAGGCAGATATTTCTGACTATGTCCTCTAGAACAGGTAACTAATATATCAATCGTATAATATGTATATTTTACGCCTCAAATATTTTAAGCGAAGTAGTTTTCTTTCGTTAGACATAACCTAACGTCACTTATCACATGGTAGAATGAAAAATAATTCTTTATTTAAACTAACGCCATCTGTGGGCGAGTAGAAGAAAGAATTTGTGATCAATTCAGAATATATCATTTTTTTAGAAATATTTATTACTTGCACTTACTGAGGTGAGTTTTCAAAAGTACAATCGATTGTAGGAACAAAATGTTTTTCAATGTTATAAAAAATCCTGAGTTTTTTTTTAATAAAAGACATCGAATCTCATCGGCCAGTATTTTAAATTATTATTGTGAGCTATAATGATTAATGAAATCGGTGTAAATATTAGGTGTGGATTGAAATTTGAAAATATTTGGACCATTTTCAGACTTTATTTAGCACCTACATTATTAATATTATATTTTACGAAATGGCTACCAAGAAAACACGGTATTCAAAAGAGATTTTATTTTATAATAATACAATATAACAGTAAGAATTGTATATATTTACAACACGATTCAATACGAATATTTAAAAACTTTGAATAGAAAATGATTTATAAAATTTACTCCTAACACTAATATATTTATCTCTTGTTCACAACTTTGAGGTTAGTTCCGGAACTGCTTTGAACAAGTCCGCTACTAAACCGTAATCAGCTACCTGAAAAATAAAAAATAAAAATTACATTAACGTTAATCTAAAAATTTTGTCAATTAAATTGCAAACTCCGTATGCCATTATTTTTGAATAAATAAAATTAATAAATTATCAAAGTTTATTGAACATTAATGAACGACAGTTGATTTTTTTTATTTTACTTACTAATTACATTAAGCATAGCTCATTAGTATTACTGCAATTACCTGGAAGATGGGCGCCTCAGGATCTTTGTTTATGGCGACAATGGTCTTAGAATCCTTCATACCGGCAAGATGCTGGATGGCACCACTTATTCCCACAGCAATGTATAGGTTCTAAATGTATAAAAAATAAAGTATATTACATGTAACCGTTTGTCAGCACCCTTATACTCAATGAAAAAGCAAAGAAAACAATTATAATAATAAATTACTAAAAAAAAGAAATTTGTAGAAAAGTTGACTTATTAATTATATATATTTTTATAATCGGAAAAGTATAAAACTAACCAGAGATAGACAAATAGTATACAATGTATACATATTAGTTATCAGTAAATGTAAACATAACACTATCTTTGGGTTAACTTTTATCAGAAGCTAGAACAAGGTCACAATGTCATTACAATTATTTTATCTAAAACAAATCATTACTTGGATATGAAAGAATTAACTCTCTTTAAATTAATCATTCATCAAATGAATTATCTAGATATTCCCTTCATGAACCAACTTTTGTCCTTATGTATGTTGACCTTCCGGAGAAATATGGAATGAAAAGAATATATCTTACAGGTGCAACAATTTTGCCCGTCTGTCCGATCTGTAGATCATTGGGTACAAAGCCGGCATCGACAGCAGCACGAGACGCGCCCACTGCAGCATTCAGCTTGTCAGCTAGGTCGTACAGAAGCTTGAAGTTATCTCCTGACTTCAGACCGCGACCTGGAATTTTTTACAAATATAAAAATATATGATGTTTAAAAAATTTCCAGAAACAGTGACCAGAGTTTTGAAATCATTTAAAATTATTGATAGCATTTGTTTTTTAAATGCAACAAATGAACAATTAAATTATTTAATTAAATAGTTTATAAATATTCACAATCATACACCACCACTAAAAGAAACCACCAACGTACCTCCGGATACTATATTCTTGGCACTTGTCAACTCAGGCCTGTCTGACTTTGTCAGCTCCTGAGAGACCCATTCCACAAGGTCAGTCTTATAGTCACCCTCCGGTGCCTTCTCTACCGCTGCGGATCCTCCTTCTAATGGCTCAGGAGGGAAAGCAGTGCCTCGCACTGTTACCACCTTAATTGGGTCCTTCGCCTCTAATGTTAAGATAGCATTGCCTGTAAAGTTATAAAGTAAGGGATGTAAGACAATAGGGGATAGTATTTTAAAAAAAAATTAAAATTGTTTCTGTGCTTGGTAACAGCCTAAAAGTACCATAACATGTAAATGGAAGATAAGATAAAAAAGAATGATCTTGTGGAAAAAGCATAATATGATGATAATATTGTAAAATCAAATGAAAGAGATATAAATTAAATGTGCCTACAATTTGGCCTTTTTTATCTACACAAAATATTTCATAGTTCATACTGAATATTTATAAATCCTAATATATTGTTACCTGCATAAATAGTCCTTACAAAAGTGTTAGCATCTTTTACACCTATGATATCTGTTATAGGAGAGACATCTAACTTGGCGGCTACTCTGGGTAGAATAGCTTTACCAAAAGCAGTTGCTGGTGCTAAGATATGTGTGAAACTGAATTGTTTCTGAGTGGCTAATATGAGAGGTGCTAGAGTTTCAGCTGTGAAGCCTTTGAACACGTCACTTTCTGCCACTAAGATCTTAGACACACCACTAGCTTTGGATATCTGTTCCGCAGCCTAAGAAAACATAAATAAATTACAGTTAATAAGTAAATTTTTAACAATTTTGTGTATAAAGTGAAAACTTAGATTAAATCCTACTTAACATAATTGTAATAGAGATAAGCAACATACTGGTCCACATTTAGTTCCTGCCACAAGGACGGATATATCACCACCGATCTTCTTCGCAGCGCTCAAAGCATTTTGTGTGACGGGTAATAAACCTTCATTGTTATGTTCCGCTAAGACAAGAGTACTCTGCAATCGTCGAAGCTGAAAGAATATGTAATTGTAGATTGAAATTTTAAAGCAAACTTGTATTCGAAATATAAAAGAAATTACCTGTGTAGAAAAAAATAAATGCCTGCTGCACGGCGAAAACATTTCAATAATTATCTATTTCTTATTTTAAAAACTTTGCAAAGTCTTGGAAAAGGTTAAAAAGTCAGTCAAAGTCCAATGGAATGAGATTAACTTTATAAAAAAAGTTTTGAAACTCAGCAATCAGAAACAATGAACGCAATGAACGAATGAAAAACAGAATAAAAAAACTTCTAGCATCTATGCTCAACGGATCGGTGTTTTTTATCATCTTAGAATTCCCGACTTCAATCAATGATTTACCTATGTATCTCATTCCTCCAGCCATTTTAACAATTTAGATTTAAAACAAATTGTACTAGCATTGTCTCCACACGATTTTAAAATAGCTTTTTTGGTTATACATCAAACTTCATGCATATATTTGGTCCAGACTACGTTGTAAGTTGTAACTGTCAGATTGTCATTCATTCATTTCGTTTATCAAATGTCAAAGGTTTAGTTAGATTATGTTTTGTTTAATTTAAATTATTAATTGAAATTAAATAGTTCAGTTTAGTAAGGAAGTAGGGTACACTTGAATGTTGTGTGATAAAGTGTTTGGTTTAAAATTAATGATTTAATAAAATAATCGAGTATGTCGTCATTACCTATTGTTTCTATCACCAGACGAGAAACTTTCAGCTCTTGCCACCGTTTACACAGGTATTTAAATTAAATTAAAATACATCTTGTTATCATTTCTGCCCTCTGACCCTACGTTTAACTTTTTTTTTATCTATCCAAGTTATGATAAGAAAACGTCTTCTAATCAAGGGTGTAATTAAAGTACATGAATTTCATGTATATTTTCAAATATTTATGTGTTATATGAAATATATTTTGTTAAGAATTATTCATTTTAATACATAAAATATTATTTTAGCCCATTTTTAAGTGATGAAGATAACAAAAAGTTGTATGGCAAATGCAATAATCCAAATGGGCATGGACATAATTATGTTGGTAAGAATTTGTTAACTTTTATTAATAAAATAAAAACAAAATAAAATACCCTTACTTTACCTCAACTGTTAAATATGTTTTTTCCATTTTATTTCAGTGTTGGTAACAGTCAAAGGGCCAGTGGATCCACATACAGGAATGGTGATGAATGTACATGACTTGAAACAATTTATGCAGAAAGCTATAATGGAACCACTTGATCATAAAAATCTCGACCAAGATGTTCCTTATTTTAAAGCTGTGGTAAGGTTTATTACAAATTTGGAGCCTGAATTTCTAGAAAACAACTAACACATTAACTGTTTGACTGAGAGAAGGTTGATGCAGATTTTTTATGTTTGTTCCAATATTTTTAGTGTCCAAGTAGATACCCATTTTTTTTTTTAACTTAACAACAAATACTGAATTTTAACATAACCTGTATTTCTTGCTATCTGTGACCACTTTTAATATGCCATCATTATTTCATGGTATTCTTATGTTAGCTGTAAGTGTGTCCTTAAAAAATAAAAACATAACAGTGTCTTTCCTGCTTAGATGACTTATATTTACACCTGGTAATATGTATATTTTTTTGATTTATTATCTTTATGTTACATTTGTTTACAGGTTAGTACAACAGAAAACTTAGCAATATTCATTTGGGATCAATTGCAAAAGATAATGGATAAACCTCAGTTACTGCATGAGGTGAAAATTTTAGAAACAGAGAAGAATCATGTTGTATATCGCGGAGGGAACACTTATTCAAGGAAGAAATGCAATACATCAAATCTGCATACAAACCATCATAATGTATCTTCAGACTCGGACTGATGAGGCATTGGTAATTTTTTTCAACACCTTCAATGCCACGGACATCTGCAAAACTTTACATGAAAGTTGTTGTGGCATTGAATGTGTTTTAATGATCTGCATTCCTTTTATATTCTTTTTTTTATTTTTATACTTTTAATACGGATGTTGAATCGAATATTTTCGTATAGGTAAGTGACTGAAAATTTTGTTCCTTGTATAAGTTTTAGAGTTTGTAAGAAATAAATACACTTGCCAAATAAAAATGTTTATTATGAAATCACTGGTATATATTATTAATAACCTAATAAACATATTTCACAAATTTACTTCAGTTGTGTTACGAAAAATGGGAATATAATATTGTTCAGTACAAAATCAAACATGAATACACACACAATAAGTATCTTTTTATGGGTGTAAAACTCTGCTATTTCTTAATATAGGTTATGTTAGATTTTAAATAAAAAAAAAAAACCAAATATCACTAATTGTATCACTTGCAAATTGAAAACCAGTACCTAACAGCTGTTTTTTGTCACTGTTTAACCTAAAAACAAAGCCCTTATGTCAAACTGAATACAAGAAATCTGAATCATCAACTGAATTTAATTGCAGTCAATTATTAAGTCAATACTTTTGATAAAAAAAATACAAAATAAAAAGTCTCAATAGTTCAAAAGCTACTTGCTATAAAAACTATACCATAAAAATATTTCATATAGCAATTTTAAAAAACAAAACATAGGTTTCACACATTTAATATTATTTTTAATCTTTGTAATACTATATTAACCGACACCCCCTCCAAAACCTGATGGCAATCTTTGTATACAACCAATAAATGACAATATTTGTATACAACCTTCAGAAACCTCGTCTATCGGAATTTTAATCTTGTACTACATTAACTATACTAATATCAGGTAAATTCACATCACAAGGTATAAGAAATAATTTCTTCAAGAATTATTTAAATAAAGGAGGATAGAAAAAAGCAAAAATTGTAAAACACATATTATTAACCGGTATTTTATGGTTAAAATTAGGTAAAAACCAGGATCATTGCTGGGTTTGCTTCTACGCCTATACCTTAAATATTTATTTATGTCAATCATAAGAAATTAAACACATACATATGAAAAATGAAAATATAGTGCAATAAAATTTGGAAATTAATGGCATACAATATTAATACTTAAGCATACACATCAATGCACACAATACCATTATAAATATATTAAGTCTAAACAATCACAGATTGGCACTAGATATTTACATTTTAACATAAAACTTTGGAAAATTCTAATATAATATTGCAAAAGAAAATACACAAAAAATTTTGATTTCATATTTCGAATTATTAAATATTCGACGAGATCAATTTAAAAAAAAATATACAAGTATTGCCAACTTAAAATATAAGGCAAAAAGGAACAGTTCCTTTATAGACACAAAATAATAAATATTGATAGATTTATTGGAACAAATGCTTACTTAAACTTTAATTAAAATGTCGTCTAAGAAAATATAAAAGTAATTATTGCTTGTTCATAATACATAATATTGTTTTTCGTGTTTGTGCGACATAATTAGATTAAATCCATTATTTAAATGTATATAATTCTATTTTGTATTATTAATGTGACTCATTTTATACATACGATTTTAAACAAAACTGGTCATGTTTAAATATTTGTTTACTCTTCATATAAGTTTAATTTTAAGTCAGACTTTTTGCACACGGTAATAAAGCAAAATAAAATTTCTTACCTAAACTTACTGGCAGTATAAAAAAGAAAAATAAAGCAGATCCACATCCAAAGCTAAATACTTTTATATTATTGCAACACCTTAATTACGTGCATATATAAAATCACACAGATTAAAAATAAATAACCTAGATTGTTAAATTCTTATCATTCTTGCGAGGATGTTTGATTGCAACATACGGTATACCTAATTCAAAGTCGTTTCTTGGCCAATACTTTAGTTGTGGTCTTTGTTCGGGCCTTTCTTCTGAGACATTGAAGTATGCTCCGAGAACTAGGGCTGTGTAACTAGCTATGAAGATAAGTATGTGCCAGACTCCGTGCAGGTATGGGAAGTCGATGGAGAGCCACGCGTTGCAGAACATTCTGTCTATAATCCAGCAGAACATCGCCAATAGACATACAGCCATGCAACGCAGCCCTAGTCTATAGACGCGAGGGCATTTAACCCTGAAATAATACACAAATATTTTAGTTCATTCTTCAATCCCAAAAATACAATGATACATCTGTATTAATGCATTGCAATAAACCAATAAATTCAAGCAAAGCTCAAATGATATACCTACAGATAGGAAGAAAAACAAAATACTGTGCCGATGTATCGGCACAACACTACTAACATAACAACGCTTATGTCCCCTCACTAATCGATCTGACACTTGGTAACGAAAGCGCGCGATTCGATCCAAATAATTCTTACTAATATTGTCATAAAATACGTAGGTCTTGCAGATATAAGAATTCGATACAAATGTTTAGACAAAGAAATAATATATACGCTTTACGATTCGAAAAGCCTTTGGTGTTCAAGGTCAACGTCAAAAGATGGTAAAATAATTTTTAAATTTTAGTTTAACTATAAACAACTAAAACAGTTAATTATTTAATAACCTACTTTAATTTAAACGTGAAAAAGATTTTCCACGTCATAAAAATACTGCATCGTAATTAAACATAACATTGGTTTTACAGGAATAAAAATGGTAATTGACGCGCCTAGATTTTATAGACTTCGTGACATTTTGTTTCATATTGCATACTAAAATGCTATTACAAAATAATGCTCATAACATACTACTATACAAGTAATAAATTAACATAGTTTGATACTATGTTGGACATAAATAGTCAGATAACTTTTTAAGTCCAGATAATCAAAAAATTTAAGAAAAAATTCAAATTTCTAGTTAACTCCAAAATAATTATAATAAACTGTCAAGTAACGGTAAATTCAGAATGTTAAAACGTCCGTCGGGTTATTGTACTGACCGTGGGTTTCTACGACCAAACTCACCGTTTGAAACATATTGTTATCTCTGTTTTGTGAATGATAATGACAAGGATGACAATATTTTTAATAAAGAGATTTTACTCTCGGAAAGCCACGGTCGGTCACTATACTTACATGTTAAGTTCTTTGTAGAGGAAGTACAGGGCCGGCGCCACGAGGGTCATCAGAGCAAAGGCATTAGCTGCGGGATGCATCACCAGGAAACCAGTCGCCACAACCGCGAACAAGCTACAGTAAAACGATAGCAACCTCCTGAAATAGTATCAAAAGTACTTAGAATCGCACAGAGAAAAAAAGCTTTAGCGGAGGCACTAGCGCTCTCTTAAGTTAATCAAATCAATCCTTTTCTTACTGTTAGTGTTTGCTTTGAACTAAAAGCATTATACCAAGACGCTTGACAGTACATTACAGTACAGATTTTCATATTTGTGCAAAAGATTTGGTTTTATAGTTCACATATGAACTTTAAAATGTATGTCCTAGAGTATTTATGTTAAATGAAGCGCAAGTTATTCAATATAATAACAAATATATTATAATATTATACTTTACGATTTAATAATTATTATGCACATTTATATTTAGGACTTCTAGATAACATAGAATAATTTGTTTTTAAACAAAGGATATCATTGACATTGTTTACAAAGAATAATCGGTCAATAATTAAACGATAATCATTTGATATGACTAAGAAAATCCCCCAATCTAAACTTTTTTGTTCTTTTTTTTAATAGCAGATTTTTAGTAAATTTACTAATATTTCTTTTACCATTCCAACTAAGCTCTAGGCTTGTTGTGCTATGTGTGCGAAGAGTATTCACATGTGCCCACACCCCGGTAAACAGTGACTCGAGGGAACCAGAGGGGGTTTAGTGGGTAGGCTCCTTGTCCCTTTAGGGATGTGGAGAGAGTCCCACATAACCGGAGTGGCTTTCCCCGAGGCACCCGGTATGCGTAACGCATTCCCCCTCTTAAAAAAAGGCTTGCTGTGCTAGGATATGGTTTACGACAATAGTCGAATGACGGGATTCGAACCCCCGACCTCGTGTTTGGAAATCCGTACTCTTAACCATTAGGGTATTGACGCTTTAATGTTTATGACATTTCAGGAAGTCTTTAGGAAAATGACATAGTTTTTGTTGATAAATATGAAAGTTGTAGCTTTAATTATATTACTATCAGTAAAGTCGTAAAGGTCACATTGGAAGCGACAATAACAATACATATATAGAAAGTATTTTTCTCGGGTATATATGACGTCAAACATAACAACGATAAGTAAACAAATACTACATCTAGAACATACGCAGTAGAACCGAAATGTCCTTAATGTATATAATCGTTTGCAATAACAATGAATGTTAGTAATTCTTATCAAATTAGTAATGGCTTAATATTATAATGACAATGTAATCGGTACACGAGCACTCGATGCACCGGGGCTAGGGTGATTTGTAACTCAAGTACACTTTGTATAATAGATGACGTGCTTGATATGGGGTCACAGACACGCAAACTCAACAGGGTTGACGCATTAATGCAGAAGAATTATAAATATTTAATAAAGTTACTAAATTTGACTTCCTTTCATTTGTTAACAAAACAATTAATAACTAAAACTAAACTAAGTCTTGCTAACTTTATTCTCTTATGCAAAACTGATCAAAAATACTCTTTTTGATTGCTATCGAAACATAAAAATGTTGAAGGCAATGGCACTAAGTAATAACTTGTTTTGCGGTTTATTTTCTTAATTTGTGTGTATACAATCGTATTCGGCCTTTATATTATTGCATACTGATGACGCATATAACCCTGCCAGTCTCTCCCAAACTAGAATAATACCATAAACAATCGACACTGGTCCAATCCGATAAAGTAGAGCCCTTAACAAGAAATAATACTGACGCATACAACAAAAGTTATTTTATTTGTTAAAAAAGTGTTACATTCTCAACGAAACTTGATTTTCAAGTTTTTATTACGTAGTTAATACGTTGGACGATTTCAAACGTGCACCATTTTTTGTTTTATCGCCTTCAGAATATGTGAAAATGATTATTTATTTCATAACACATTTTGAGTAGGAATTGAAACATATCGTTAAAGATATTTGTTATTTTGAACAAGCAAGAACGATGTTTGGGTCTTGAATGATGGATGGATGTTTTAAGAAGGTATCCCCAGAACGGCTGCATGGATCTCGGTGAAATTTGCCATAGATGTAGAACATAGTCTGGAAGGACATATAGGCTCCTTGTTGAGTTTTGTTTTATTCCACGCGCAAGGTGTTGCGGGCGATACCTAGGAGTACATAAAGGTCATTTATTTTATGCTATCCATTCAATTGTATGACAGGTCATGTGAAGGCTAAAACAGTGTACATAACTTTATGGAAATTTAGACAGATTTGTAGCAGTTATTCGGCAGTGGAAATCTTTAGTAACAAGATACGAATAAGTCTATAGAACATTGCTAATTATTCTGCTAAGTCGAACACAATTAACGAATTACCTTTAACGTTCAAATAGCATACGTAACCTATAAACGTAGTAGTAATAGCGTGCAGCAATGTGTTATCGATTCAAAAACAACCGTGAAGGTTAACATGGACTATTAATTGATGAAGAAGCAAAGATTGTGGCGAAATAAAATTACTTTAAGTAATTCAAAGTAGCTAAACTCCAATCCAGTCAGTTATCTTTATCGGATGTTAAGAATATTAGCTATAAAAAATATTACGAGCATGTTTGCGACAATTATTCTTTCCACTGAAATAAGGTTTAATACATGAAAGGTGACCGTTTTTTTCAAGCGTTAAAACTACTTAAAGAACCTATGTTCCATTTCGAAAATTTGGGTGAAAATATTCGTATCGTCATTGACAAAATTTGTATTAGATTTGTACTATCGTATGTAAAGTACTATGACAAATTTCATAAAAATTTTGACATATTTTGTTGATGACGTTACAATAATCCAATTCGCAAGTATTCATAATAAACCCACAGCACAAAGAGAAGCTATAAGACTCATTTGATTTTTAAACGTTTTGTACTCTGCGCAAGTTCGCCGGTATGGCATCATCAGTTTTCCATAACATGTTACCGTGCTCGGGTTGTACTTGGTTTTAATTTGCAACACTTACACACTAGCAGTAGCTAGTTTACACTCGATGTATTAAATGCGAAGTGCCTCGTTAACACGGTGACGAAACTTACTACGATGGTCTTTTTTTTAAATCGCAATAATGTTTGCGCAACATTTCGCGACAGAAATAGTTGTTAGCACACAACGCAATGCGCTCCCTTCAAGGAAAGTGCGTAGTATCGTGAAGTACCACGGCCATCGGACATGTCAAACATATTGTTATCTCTATTCTTTCCAAGATAATGAAAGGGATGACGATATGTTAGTACATGTATTTAGTCAATGGAAACTCTGAAAATACATTGGCAACAAACGATTTCAAACCTACAAGTAAATATTGTTGTTAAAATCATTACCATATCAAATACAAAGGGTAAACCTTTAGTCAATAAATTGTAACGTACGTATTTAAAAATCGAAACGGAAAAGATCTTATCGACTAAATGAAAAGCGGATAGCGATTGTGGGTGCATTTATTTCCACACGACAATTACTAACAATTGTAACTTCGTATTAGAGGTTGTAAAATTTAAATTTTCGCAGGCATTTACCGCTGAGTCACAATAGACTGCAAGTCTTGAAGTTTACATAACTATATCATAAACATTCATGTATGGATTTAAGATCCGAATCGGCACTATTAAATATACAACACGCTATGAAAACATAATTTGTCACACTATGTTACACTATGACCGTTTAAAATACAATGTTTCTTGTACATAATAATATTATTAAAGACAACACATATGGTGAATAAGGAACTTAATCGATTACATTAAAAAGTAAATGAATTTGTTAAACTTATTTATTTATATCGATATATGACTTAATATGGCACCGAATATTTGGCCTTGTTTAAGGATAACAATTTATACGTAATATTTAAGATCTTGACTTAAAGCGCTTTTTAGTATATGCATGTTACGCTATTTATAAAAACTAATAATATTGAAGGATTTCTATGTAATATATAAAAAATATCATATTTCGTACACATTATGTGTTTGCATTGCCGATAACGAATAAGCTTTTTTATTTTGTCCGTCTGTCCGCAAGAGCGCGTTTCTTCCGGGTAAGCTCTGGAACGGCTAGACCGATTTTAACGGTACTTTGAGTAGTAGGTAGCTGATACCTCCGGGCATATTAAACACTACGTTTCCTTTTTTTATTATTCTTCCCTGACAAAGCCGCAGGCGCCCGCGAGTTTCAGAACCATTTGATAGAATACACAATCTACTTTATGATTGCCTACACATGTTGACTCCCACACCTTGACAATGAATAGTCAATCATCAAATTTAAAATATAAAAGATGTACAATCATCCAATTGAGAGGCTATTCACTAAACATTTTGGCTTTGAAATCAGACATAATTTTTCTTTCTATCATCATTGGTTACTACTTTACTGTAACTAAAAGTATTGATATATACCATAATAAGCACTAACCATGATAAGGATTACATACAATAAAAGAAAAAGATAGATCAGATTCAACTCCCTCCTCCTATTAAATCTCTCATAATTTTTACACAATTACGAATTTCTACATTTCAGCAGTAATCCAGAATTACACACATTACAAGATCTCACAATAAAACAATAAAATAGACAACTACATAAGATTGTAAATAAAAATGTACATACCTGTTTCCACCCATAAATTTTGGAAAATACCGCTTGGGGAAGAACATAGCAAAAGCAGCCATGAAAACCCAAAGTATTGCTAGCTCATCCAGTAGCTGGCCTAAAACATATATCAACAATTCTAATGAAATAAATAACACCAATCGTTAACTATTATCCGTTTTATATAATATATTAATCAACTTGTATATTCGTATACATAGATGTATAATAATTACGAAGTAAGTATTCATTAATATTAAAATAAGTAATTAAATGACTAATTAATTAAACTACCAAAATAATACTATGAAATAAATGAATTTAAGCAAACTATATCTTAAAAATATATATCTTTGTTACAAATATATCATATTCTCAAAATGTATAAAAAGCCATATTTAAGCCTATAAACTCTGCTTTCTTAGCATTTATTTTACTTTATAATTAAAATAAATGTTTGAAATGCAGTGTACTTTATCCTTTTGTATTTAGTCACATTAAAATAATTTACAGTAACAAAAGATAAATTGTATTGCTGCATATTTAATTGCAATTGAAAAATAGATCTGACTTACCTACTAAGCTGAGAGTAGCGTGAAAATAAGCTGAACTTAACCCAACAACCATTAACAGGACCCACAACACATTTATTGCAGGATTAACGAATTTGGAATATTCTTGAAACAAGTGGATCAATACGGGCGGAAATAAGAAAAAAATTATATTCGTCACCTGTAAATAAAACATATCTTTAGTAAAAAAAAAGACCATTATCCCTGCCTTTTGAACTAAAGTGCAACGAACATTTAATTTTACTTTACGAATTACAATACCCAAAGAAAACATTACTTACAGTGTTAAAAAATTCTGCTATAACTGGAGAAATAGAATAATTAGATTCGCACCAATCTACAGGTGAACTTCCTCGTTCTAAATGCGACCACATTTTTACAATTTCAGTTTCTTTGTTTACATCAAAAAAGAATGAAATATATAGACACTAGCTCTAAAATTCAAAGATTATCGAAGGTTGCGGAGAAAACACTAAGTAATTATTTAATTTAAAGTATTTCAAAAAAATTCTCATACAAAAATTATGAATAGAAATAAAAATATTTTCAAAGTGTTATTGGTATTCGGGTTCACTGCACGCGAATTTGTTGTAAACTAAATTGTCATCAGTGACTAACTGACAAAGACAGTGAATGTCTGACATAAAAGATAGAAGTGACATTGACAACTCAACAAACAACAAAGTCAGCTGTCATTCTGCCAAGAACTATATAGAAAAAATACAGAGTGCTAATGGAGTTATATTCGTAGAGCCAGTTTTTTTTCACTTTAAGAAAATTTGATATATAGCGAATTAATGAAACAAAGGACTGAAAAGATACACAATTCTTTAGTACATTTTGTAGAACAGTGGTAAAACTCTTATAAAACTAGTATTTTTGTCTTATTATTTTACGTATTCGGTTTTTAGAGGTTCCCATCTTTTGGTAGCCCATTGACTCCACTCATAGTCCTGCACTTAGATGAGTAATCTGTAAGACAATACAATTTCCTAATCGATTATGACTTAGAAATATAATTCTACACAAACAGTATCTTCATGGGTACATAGATTTTAAATTGTTCCCTATAAAATGAAAATTTTTTGTATTTGGTTTAAAACATTTTTTGGCAATGCATAACGAAGATTCGCTTAATAATAGTACCAGTAGTGAGTTAAATTTTATAGATCAGTGGAGCGATGTTACAGTACTTAAAGAGATATCAAAAGGTGCGATCCTTCGCCAGCATAAAGTTAAACAAAGCACTTATAAAGATGTATATGATTCCGTAAATTGCAATTACGATGAGCCATCAACATCAAAATCGAATCAAATGCACCACGTTATTAGGTAATCTTTTCATAAAGACTAGTAAAGATCCCACATACCTAAACCCTCGTCTTATGTAATTGATATAGTGCTTGATTACAGAAAGCCTGTATGTATCAAAACCGGGAAGATGAAAAGGAGAAAGTCTCCAAAAAGATGTCCAATGAGAATCGCACAGTTGTCCGTACCTACCAAACGGCAATGTATTGATACTTGGCGAACTAAAGCCACAGTAATTCCAAATTTTATGGTCAGTAGGTGACAATGTATAAAATATTCTTCGTAAAAGCGGCTAATGCAAATATTATGTGATACAGAGAAAGTAAAATAAGAATTTTCATTGCGACAAAGTCGTATTTTTACTGCTTTTTCATTAAACAGGACATACAAGTTCTTAATTACAAGTACACAAGCATGTGTGATAAGATCAGGCATATTTCCGTGTTCAGTCCGTGGGCATAGTTTTGTTATCGTAAAGACGAAACTGTTAATTGATGTTGACTTGTATTTGTATCATTATATGAATGTTGTACTTGTATGTCATTGTTTGTAGAAAATAACCTTTTTATTCCAAATGTTTGAACGATATTATCTGTTAATTCTTTAGGTAGAGCGACTTAAACAACGAGTAATGGATCAAAAACCAATTGTACTGGTTGCCGACGCTGTAAATTGTTTTGAAAGAAGAAAAAGAAAGCCCCGAAAAAGGCAAGCTCTTCTCAATACACTACGAGTACTTATTTGTTGGGATAGTCCCATCAATATTTCAATCCCAAACTTGTAATAATTTTTAATCACAACATAAGACTGTATTTTTAAGCAGGTTTTGTAACACACGCATATCAAAAATATATTTATTTTTTACAGAAATAAAAAGACGCACTCGGTTGCCGAAAAGAAGCTTATAAAAGAACTAAACATCTTATGTGCCATATTTGGATACAAAATAGCTCTGAAATTGAGACAGCCTATGAATCTATCGCTGAATTATAGGTAGAAGTTTCCCTTAATTATATTATTATTTATAAATTTACATAAAATGAAACTTAATATAATGCCTCACTTAAGCCTTAAATAACTGTTTTTGACCCAGATTAGCTAAAATAAATATTATAGTCAAAGAAGAAATAAATACGATATTACAATGTAAAACAACATTAAATCAAAAACTGATCAGAAATAAAGAAATATTAGAGGAAATTTCTCGAAAAGTAAGTTAGATTTCAATACGTGTGACATATTTTTATCACCTTAAACATACAGGTTACGTGGGGAATTTTATTTATACAGCTCGAAAACCATTGCATTATTAAAAACAACGTCTCGAGGTGATAGATGTATGAGCAGAACACACGTTTAAAATTGCAATTTGTGTTAAATATGGTTAAACACTGTCCCTTTTAAAGTGTATTCTTAAATACTGGGATTTTGATTCTTATTTTTTACACTATATCGACCTCAACACAATTATTTAATCAACAGGTTACAATATGGATTGATACGATATTGGATGAATCCGAGATCAAATTGTTAGAAGAAAATCTTCAAGGTAACATAATTAAAAGTTTATTCATTCGCAGACTTAAATTCGCATTTTTGAAATATTAATCATTGAAATATTTTATTTCAGAACTAGAGGAAGAGGAAGGACCTGTTTTGGATTTAATTGACGACTTAGTAGAGGAAGTTCTGGTGATTACAAATTATTTTGATTCGCTGATATAGAAAGTAAAATTATTTCCAACATAGATTAACATTTATTATATTTTCAATTTCAGATTATATGCGTACCGCATAATCTCATTAAGTCCACGGAAAAATTAGCTGAAGATGACTTATTATCTGATTTATCAAAGGATAAAAGTATGGAAGAACAAATCAGTAATATTACCGAAATAAATATAAATGACTTAGTGATAGATCTTTACACTAATGCATTAGAATACGCAGAACGGCAAAAAGAAACGCAGGAAGATTATTTCCTAACTGAGGGAATTACAAACATTCAGCAATCGGTAGATCTTCTTAGTATAGGCAGTGAAAGCGAATATGTTTTAGAGGACTTTAGAGGAGAATTAAATAAACTAATAGATCAAATAGTAGATAGCTTAATGATTGGTGATGATCAGATTGAAGAGGAAAAATATGTTGATAGCGAAGAAGACGCGATGGAAAAAATTTCTGAACATAAAGAAAATACTAACAATTTACTTCAAGCTTCGCAAGATTCAGTATTACAAGAACACAATGCCAGTATAAATGAAGAAATAAATTTAACTGAACAGACAGAAACATTTAATGTAGATTTGGAACATAAAGGAGATGACACGATAATTAATGACTTAACGAATGAGACAATTGAAAACAATAAAATAGTTAAAGAAATAATTGATGATTTACTAAACACTGGTGTTTGGAGTTCCGAGCCAAATGTATTAGATGATAATTACACAAAACCAAATGATACAGAAGTTGTTCAACAAGAATTATTAGAAAATGAAACACAATTGAATAATGAATCAGAGAACATACAAAATGAAGCACCAGTAAAAGATAACGAAAGTAAACAGGAAGGACAAGACTTAACACAAATTAATGACGATGAACCTGAAGCTATAAGTTTATCTCCTAAAATCAGTGAAAGGCAGCAAATAGTGCAAGATCTGTTGATAACAGTTTTTGAAAACTTTGACCTCGAATCTGCGCTTGATGAAAACGAAGACAACAAAAAAGTAAAATTTTCAGCTATTGATATGGGTAATAAAGTTTAAATATCATATTGTAAGACCTAATTGAGGCTAAAACAACGATGTCAAGATATTTTTATGTATTTATACAAATTCACACGATTTAGAATGTTAAGGAAAAGGACTAGAATTTATAGTTATTCTTCTTTTTAATACTTTTTCTTTTTCAGGTATTGGAGTGAACAAAAAATTGTTAACAAAATTAAGGTATTTATACTTCTTACTAAACAACAGGGCGATTCTTCACGTCATATTTCTTTCTCTTTCGTTAAATAACGATAAGGTATTAGATTGTTATTGTACACGAACAACAATATTAAATAAAAATAATAATTATTATTAATTTACAGTAGCCAACAGTTGATATTACAAAAACCGTCTAGTGATTACTTAAAATTTAACATCGACTTCGCTCCACCCAATGAAAATTTATTATGTAAGTAATCAGTACTTGTTACTACTAAAATTACATTGTAAAACTCAATTTAAATACTGTTGTTTTATAATTTCCAGCTAATGCCGATGAATCCTGGCCACAAAACATTGCTCTACCTATAATTAAGGTAACTGAAAGTGTAAATAAATCAGTAACATCGTTAGGTAAAATATTTGAAATCGATGAAAAACGGATATCATCTGAAAGTAGCTATGTTTCCATACAAAATTCTGAAATTCTAATAGATGTTCAACTTGCTTCGATGTCAATGGGTAACAGCAAAATGAACGATATGTTACTTACACGATTTCAGAATGAAAATAAGATAGGCACAGAAGAAACAAATAAAAAGGGAAACGATAAACCACAGCGTAAAAATATCGACAAGAAAAAGCAAATCAAAAACAAAATAATTAAAAACGAAACGAAACATGATCAGAAACCCCGAAGCATTGATAAAAAATCAAAAGATACAAACGGAAAAATTCGTAATAAATCTATAGAGGTTTATCGAAAACCTGAAAAGAAATATATCAAGGCCAACAATGACAAAGATATACCAAGAAAAGATAAAAAGTTCCCGAATAAAGATGAAAAACCTAATAAAACGGATAGAATAAAAGTTTCCGTTAACAAAAAAGATATTGCAAAGAATAAAATAAATGAAAGCAAAGTTGGTATTAAACAAAAGAAACAATTCCAACCTGTAGTTAGCGTTAAAAAAGCGGAATTAATTACAAAACCTGTTGACGTAATTTCCAAGGAAGACAGAGGCGATGGTCTTAAATACGGTAAGTAGGACAAAAACTGAGATAATCTACTATTTGTTAAGGTGTCGGAGACTGTCTTCTTACTAAATAAATGACTTACGACTTCATTTTCAAAATAAAACAAAACCAGAATGCATACCATTTTCAAAAGTAATTTAGTAATTTCAATCCTTTTTACAGAACAAAAAAGAGAATCGTACTCATGTGAAAAATTCTTCTCGTCGGAACAAAAAACGAACTTAAAGCAGAATGGTATGATAATTTTAAGAATTCTTCTCTACTTAGACCTAATGAGTCTGGTGTTTTAGACAATTCTTTTATTTTAGAACTATTGTTAACTAAACATTTTAATGACATATCAATGTGGTATTCGTAGGTATAATAAAGATAGATACGTACGATATTTTAAAATGGTGCAAAGGCTTAGAAAATGTTATTGAAAATTTAGAAACGTGGAACTCTTGGGTGAATTCTATTTGCAAATGTATTACATATCTCAAACAAAAAGGTAAGTAGGTAGTAGTAAGTAAATACAATTGTTATTTTAATAAGTTCGTCATAATATAACGAAATATACACAACAACTATTATTTTTACATTTAGGAAGTTGCAATAGTTTGAAATCAATCGAAAAAACTAGAAGTAAATGGAAAATGTTGCACAAAAATATTAAACAAGATACAATTTTATGGAGGAACATGAAACAGCGTAATCGAGATGGCTTAAAAAGCTATAAAAAGTATTATCATGAAATTAAGGTGAATATTGTTTGATCTACTAAGATAAAGGGTTACTAAACAGCTTTTTATTACATGTTTAGGGCCGTTTGAGTAGATTAGTTTTTCTTAACTGGTTAAAAACTAAACTTGAATATAGGATAGTTTCTATTTCAATATCAACCACAATTACTTCAACAGAGCTATTGTATAGCTACAACGTTCAATTGTTTTAGCCATAAACAAATCTAAAAATATTTAATTCTATGTCCGATTTTGAAATGTATCGATTTATGTTCTTTTAGATTGGAGCAACAAAATTTCAAACATGTGACTGCAGCAACAATTAATAGACAAAAGTAATAAACAAATGAACATTTATTAATGTTTTTCATTTACATGTTAATAATACAAAAATGAAGTTTGTTCATTATTTCTTATTCCAATAAAGTTTTCGAACATAGTTCTTATTTCCAATGTCACTTATAGTGGACAGTTATTTGATTGTAGTCATACTTCCTAATGTTGCCATCTCTGCAGGCTGTCAGAATCCATTTGCCATTGAATGCTATGTCTCGTATTCCATCACAGTCAGATCCTGTGAGTTGAACTCTTATAGCAATGTGAGAGTCGTTCATAGAGAAAACAGTACATGTACCATCCTGGCGACCCACTACAAACATATTATTGACCAGTGTTGCCAGACTCAGGACTGGATTATTAGATTCATGTAGTTCTCTTATTATAGAACCATCTTGAAGATGTATGAAAACAACCTGAAAATTAATTAATCAATTATTGTATATGGAATTCATAGATTAAAAATGTTAGGTACACAATTGAAAAATATTCACAAAAGGCTGGCAAAATAATAACATCTAAATAGAACATACCTTTCCATTGCTACAGCCAGCAATAATAACTTGATCAATAACTATACAAGCATTAACAGAAGAATCTAATTGCTGTTTGTATAATTCTGTTCTCTTGCCAACATGGGCACAGATAATTAAACCACTTTCATAACCAGCAATTAATAGTTTGTTGCCAGTACCAATCTAAAAGAAACAATTAAAGGATACATAAAAATACATTATTTTTATAAATAGCTTGTAATTAATTATGAAACATTAAAATTAATTAAATCTTATATATTTTTTGGTTTAGTTAAAAATTTACCTCTCGATCATTGTCTATGGTAACTTCTTCAACAGATGTTGCTACAGCGCAGCAGTTGATAGGTCCATGTCCTTCCAAGATATTGACAATGCATCTTGACTGACCCACATCCCATAACTTTGCTGTTCCATCTCTAAAAAAATCATTATTTTAAGTTTCATTTCAGCTTTGACACTTTTGTCTATATTTGAAGAAAAGTGTTAAATGTTTGAAACAAAATTGTAAAATTCTTTAGGATGAAAATTAAAAAAATTATACATCTTACTTGCTGACACTTAGAACATTTCTCCCTTTATCAATAATGGCCAAATCTGAGATGGACATTTTATGTCCAATCAAAGTCACCGGATTTATTCCACTTTCAGCAGACCAAATTCTGCAGGATCCATCAGCTCCGGCCGAAATCAACACAACATTTGAAGGAAATAGTCTGCACTTGTAAACTGGCCCACCATGTCCTTTTAAATCTAAAAGGATCTCATCTGTAACACAACCAAAAATTAATAATTTTGCATTCCACTAAAAATCTAATATTTACTAACATTTGTACAAATTTTTCATATCTTACCAGTTCTTGTATCCCAAACTAACAGTTTGTCTTCTTCACAGGATGAAACGGCTAAGGCATTTTCACCTGAGCTTATTGATAATAAAGCTTTTTTATGTATAGTGTGTGTTTTTGTAGGTGCAACAAATGCTACTTTTAAGCCTGAACCTAAATGCTTTAAAACAAGACTCAAATTACTATGAGACAGATATTGATAACTATCTGGACATTTTATTAGTATTTTTCCATCAGCTTGATTAACTGATGCTTTTATTGTATCATGGACACTGTTTTGGTCTTTATACTTTGATGATATCCAAAATTCCCCTTTCATGAGCCTGTAATGAAAACAAAGGAATTAAAATCTTTCTATAAAACATATTCAAATCTCGGTATTTACAGAAAGAGTGTGGGAAATAGAAAAATGTTTTATATTCAAATTTGGACAACGGAAACCCAGTGTTTAACGCAATAAAAGTGTTTTTTTTTCTAATAATTCATTACCTCACAACATCTATCCAGTCGCATTGTATTGTAACGACAGGTAAAGTATTTGGCATTTTGTTATTTATATAAATTCTTTCAACCGGCGAAAATTAAAATATCATTATACTTTTGACAGCAATGTTTTGAGGCTACAGCGGTATGTTATGCACAAGAAAATTATTAATGCAATAATATTGGTAAAAATAATACATGTAAAATCATGACTCGCATAAATTCGAATTTAATTTTATACTTATTTTCTTCGCTTTGCCTTTTCACTTCGATTTTATTCGATTCCTAATGGACATTTAATGTCAATGTCAATGTCATTTTTTTTTAATTTTATGACCTGGTAACATAGATCATATCTTATTTGGAAAATGTTTATTACTTTGGATTCACCAAACTTCACTTCACTAATATTCATCGTTTAAATTTTTTGAATTGTTTTTGTCAATGTCTATTGTCTATAAAATCCACAGAATAGCTTGTCCAAATACCAGTCCTATTTTAGCTAATAGTTCGCAAATTCTCGTATGCAAAGGGCCTTAAACTCTTAAACAATGTTACACAATTTTATTTCGTAGCAAAATAATCAGAAATTATGTTTATTATGCGGAAGATTTACGATAAAGTTAAAATTTAAAATATCTAATATTGACTGATTGACACAAAGAGTATATAAAATATTGACACTCAATTCATATTTTATATACTCTTTGCTCAATTTTGTTTGATGTTATAACAAAGAGTATATAATGTCAATTGTAGTAGCATAGAGTAGGTAAGATGTAACTAACTTCAAAATCAAACATGCAGGTGCGATGCAAACACGCATTTGTATTTTTGTAAAATATTTATAAACATTAAAAGGATGGAGCAAGTTCAAGATTTATTTGATTGCTTTGAAGAAACTGCTGATGACACGCCTGAAATTTCAAAAGGCGTCTTGTTAGTACCTCTATAACCTATTACTTAGATAATTCTGTAAAACATATTGTGATTTTTAATTAGATATTTTGTTATTTTAGAGGTGAATCTAAAGAAGCTAAAAATTCAAGTAAGCGACCGCATGAAGAAGTTGAGTACGCAAACACTGCAGAGACTAAAAGACCAAAACAAGACGATGGAGAAGACGAGGCAGATCTCCTTGCTGACTTAGAGTAAGGACTTTTTTTTAATCACCAAAAGTATATAACAAAATGAACTTCTTTGCTTAAAGATAATTAATGGCTATTATCTTGTATACTTTCAATTAAAAAGTTCTAGAGAATAATTTGTTGAATCTTATAGTACTTTTAATTTTGCAGCTTGGATGTTTTAAAATCTCGTATAGTTATACATACCTTAGAAACAAGCGATGGTTGTACACATGAGGTGGCCATACCCCCAGGTCACGAGTATGTTCCATTGGCGCCCATCTCTGCAGAACCTGCTAAACAATACAGTTTTATTCTGGATCCCTTTCAAAAAGAAGCGCTGCTGTGTATAGACAACTTGCAATCTGTTTTAGTGTCAGCCCACACATCTGCCGGGAAAACTGTTGTAGCTGAGTAAGTCAATGTCTTAGTATACATCAGCAATTAAATGGCCTTTTTGAAAGTTTTCTACTAAAGATCACTTCAAAAATATGTCTTTGACACATCTTCATAATCTTAACCACAGAAAAAAATTGTTATTGATTATTTTTCACTAATTTTTCTATTATTAATAGTTAAATTAGTCATAGTTTAACTATGAATTTCAAAATGATAGCAGGTTGCGGTATTAGTAAAACTTTGTTCTATCCAATAGGTATGCAATAGCTCTTTCATTAAAGAGTAAACAAAGGGTGATATATACAACCCCAATCAAGGCATTATCGAATCAAAAATACAGGGAGTTTTCTGAAGAGTTTCAGGATGTTGGATTGATCACTGGTGATGTTACAATCAACTCATCAGCTTCATGTCTGATAATGACCACAGAGGTGACTTTTAAACTATATTTTTCTATTTTATTAGACTATTTAACATATATTTTTATACTTCTCATTCAAAGAAAATTATTTGAATATGAAAGTAGGTTTCATATTATATTTACAAATTTTTATTTGTCAATTTTTGCTTTGTATAACTTCAGATTTTAAGAAACATGCTGTATAGAGGATCAGAAATAATGAGAGAAGTTGGATGGGTTGTGTTTGACGAAATTCATTACATGAGAGATAAGGAAAGAGGAGTTGTGTGGGAAGGTAAGAGAAGAGAATAATATTTAATTCATTTTTTGGGGTTAGGTTAGGTTAATGTTTTCCCACAGAACTAGTTCTGCAGACAGAGACTAAAAAATTTATGTTATGAATAAATCCTATATTCTTATTTCTTTCAGAGACATTAATCCTCTTGCCGGATAATGTGCATTATGTATTCTTATCAGCTACTATTCCCAACGCGCGTCAGTTTGCAGAGTGGGTTTGCAGATTGCATTCCCAGCCCTGTCATGTGGTATACACTGAGTACAGACCTACACCATTACAGCATTACATATTCCCTGCCGGTGGTGATGGTATACATCTCGTTGTTGATGAGAAGGTAATTATGATACATTTTTAGGGTTCCGTACCTCATAGGAAAAAACGGACCCTTATAGGATCACTTTGTTGTCCATCCGTCCATCCGTCCATCTGTCAAGACCCTTTTTCTCAAAAACGCGTGAAGTTATCAAGCTGGAATTTATTATAAGACGTATGTCTACAACTAGACACTTATATAATGTAAGAAAATTTAAATATAGTAAATTTAAAGAGCTTAATTAGTAGCCTATGTGTTCTTATAGATTATGTTCTATATCTATGCTTAATTTCAATAAGAGCCTTTCTGGAGATACCTTCTAACACCTATCCATACAAACATTGGCACTTATAATATTAGTATGATGAAGTGTGACATAATACAGTAATATAGTACAATAAATTGTCATATAACAGGGTCAATTCAAAGAAGATAACTTCAACACAGCGATGGCTGTACTAAGCAATGCTGGGGATGCGGGCAAAGGTGAGCAGCGCGGCCGACGCGGTGGTGTCATGCGTGGCAACAACAAGGCCAATATATTCAACATTGTTAAAATGGTGATGGAAAGAAACTTCGCTCCAGTAATCATATTCAGTTTCAGCAAGAAAGATTGTGAAGCTTATGCTATGTTGATGGCCAAATTGGACTTTAATACGAGTAAGTAAGATATATATATTCAGAATAAAATTGGTCTTCCGTCTTAAGATAACTGTTTCTATCATTAAATATATTTTATGTCAATAAATTTTTATTTTGTGGATTTAATATAAATTTATTTTATATTTATATTACAATTGAACAACCAAGACATGACCACCATGTCTTTTAAATCATTTTTTCAACACAATTGAAAATGCAGCTTAGAGTTTTTATATAAAGAATCTTGTTGGTTGAATATGTTGTTAAAAATGTTTAAATTATTTAAGTTGAAGAGAAGAAGTTAGTGGACGAGGTATTTAGTAACGCGATGGACATCCTGTCGGAGGAAGACCGCAAGCTGCCGCAGGTGGAACACGTAGTGCCGCTGCTGCGTCGCGGTATCGGAATCCATCACGGAGGTCTGCTGCCCATACTCAAAGAGACCATCGAGATACTCTTCAGCTTGGGCCTCATAAAGGTACAGTTGAGGTAGCTAATTCCCTACCCATTACTAAGGACGAAATAGTCGTTGTAAATGGAGCAACTTTCAATGTTTGATTTCCTACATATTTGTAAGAATTTCATTTTTTAAAGAAAAATTATAGAAAAACTGACTTACATTTGACAAATAACTTAAACGCCTCTAATTACAAATAAACATTTCAGGCATTGTTCGCCACGGAAACATTTGCGATGGGTCTCAACATGCCCGCCAGGACTGTGGTGTTCACCAACTGTCAGAAGTTTGACGGAAAGGACTTTAGATTCGTAAGTGTCTTATAAAATATATAGTGACGACATTCCTAATAATTAAAAAATGTTGAAAATATTATCTTTAAATAAAGCAGCAACCAGCAACTTCGTATGCGCGAAATATGTCAGCCGAGAATAGTGTATAGCTTCTTAACGGTTATTTTTTTTTAAATAGGCTTAGTAGTTTCGTCAAACAAATTAATTGATATAAAAATTTAAATAAACACGATGTTTTCTTACTTTGAGCATCATTTATCGAGTTCGGATTGATTTCTTGTCGTCTGTATTACCGTGTTTATTATATTTTTCAGATAACATCAGGTGAATACATCCAGATGTCGGGTCGCGCGGGGCGGCGAGGTTTGGACGACAAGGGTATCGTCATCCTCATGATAGACCAGAAGATCACGCCGGCGGTCGTCAAAACTACAGTACAGGGCAAAGCTGATCCTATTAACTCTGCCTTCCATCTCACTTATAATATGGTATGTTTACACAAAACTATTTAAGGTAATATTAGCACCAGCTGTCGCCTGCGACTCTGTTCGCGCGGAACTTAAGAAAATAACAATTAATAACCAACTACTAGTTTTTAAGGACTATATCCCACATCAGTGCCGAATTTGATCAAGATCCATTGAGCAGTTCTGAAGATACCATCTAACAAACAAACATCCATCCATCTAAACTTTTACATTTATAATATTAGTAAGATTTATATTTGAAGTGTCATAATAATGGACTAGGTTTACATCGTAATTTATTTTGAAAGTAAAAAATTTCGTTTATTTGTTAATATTAGAAGAGGTTGTATTTTTGCAAGTCAGTGCTTTTTAATATTACATGAGATAGATTGAGGAGAAAATATAGAAAGGGAAGGAAATAACTTGCTAATTGATTTTTTAGGTGCTTAATTTGTTGCGAGTTGAAGAAATAAATCCAGAATATATGTTAGAGAGGAGTTTCTTCCAGTTTCAAAATCAAGCCTCCATTCCAGATCTCATAGACAGTATGTATTGAACAATTTCAACATTTTCAAAACACATTTTTAATTGCTATTTTCATATTTTTTAATAAATTTCCAGAGGTACAAGAAAAGCAAAAGCAGTACGACAAATTATCGTTAGGGCAGGAACAGTCTATAGCGGAGTACTGTGGGATACGGGGCCAGCTCGACCTGCTGGCTGCCAAGTTCCGAGGGTTCATCACCCGTCCAGAGTATCTCAAGCCTTTCCTGCAGCCCGGCAGACTTGTCAAGGTGGCCATTTAACGCTTAATTCACACACATAATAATGTTTTTAATAGCAATGATCTAACAAAAATAAGCGCTGGGCGTTATAGTCACGTTATAAAAATGTTAATGTAAAGCTTAAATGTATCTGCAACTTTGTCTAATTTTTAGGGTTCTGTATCTCGAAAGAAAAAAAAACGGAACCCTTATAGGATCACTTTGTTGTCTGTCTGTGTGCCAACACCCTTTTTTAATAGTAAGGCCCTTAGTGTTAAATATTTATAAAAGTTTTTTTAATGCATTTTTGGATTTTGTTTAACAGTATTAAAATGTGATATATAAACACGGCTAAACACTCACGTATATTCGTCCGGTGGCGGCACCGACTAGTTTCGAGCTCATCCGGGGCCGCGTCCGCGAAATAATACCAGTACCACTCATCCTGAAGAAGGGCCCCCGATGGGCTCGTAACTAGTCGGTGCCGCCACCGGACGTATATACGTGAGTGTTTAGCCGTGTTTATATATCAGTTTAATATAATATCTCACGAAAGTTTGAATAATTTAGTATTAAAATATGGTTTATGTGACAGGTGAAAACAGAGAAACATGAATATGACTGGGGTATAATAGTGAATTTCAAACATAACACAGTGAAAGGCAAGAAGCAGAAGGAGGAGAACCCTCTGACATTGGAGCAGGCCATCATTGTGGATATTCTACTACATGTCAAGAAGTGGGAGCCTACAGACCTAGATACCAAGTTCCCTTGTCCACCAGGCGAGGTATTAATTCATTTATATGTATTTAGCTTTTTTTTATATAATTTCTAGTTACTATTGTTTGTTCTTTTTAGATTACTAAATTATTGCTCAACTTTTAAAAATTGTACATACACAATGTTACTTATAGGAAGTCATTGGCTCCTTTAATACAGGGAGACCTAGTAAAGGAGCCAAGGTTATAATGAACCAGATTTGTTGAATGTACAATAAAACTTTATTATTATTTTATTATTATATATTAGTATGTATTTTAGTGTAACGAAATATACACTTCTAATAAAAGATGAAGACAAGATTATATATGCTATCCTAATCGAGACCTAAATACTATAAATAATTGGAAAAATATAGTTTCAGGTCAAATTATTGTAAATACTAAAAAAAATAATTGAGAAGTAACTTAAAATACTGAATTTTTTATCTAATTGTCTTGTTATTAATTTGAATTACTTTGTTTAAGACTGGTGAAGTGGAAGTAGTTCCAGTTTTACATACATTAATAAATCAAATAAGTTCCCTTCGAGTTTACTATCCGAAAGATTTACGTCCGCCTGACAACCGCAAGTCAGTTCTCAAGACAATAGGCGAAGTGAAGAAACGTTTCCCCGAAGGACCTCCGCTATTGAACCCTATAAAAGACATGAAAATTGATGACCCTGTATTCAAAAAGTGTGTGGAAAATATCAAGATTTTAGAAGAGAAGTTAGTTAATATTTTTTTGTAATATTATATTAGTTATTATAATAGATCTTTGTGTACGAATGCTTATTATGCTTCATATTCATTTATTTATCATATTTTTAGTATAGCACATTTCATATACAAAATAAAAAAAATTATTAAAAATAGAGTACCACCGGCTGTGGAATTCCATGACTCAAACAACTAGTGGTTAGGGCTGCATAGACAGGAACCTACTCACTTATTATGCTTATTTTAATATTTTTTTATTACTTTTTTAATGGTTTTCTATTATATTGTTTTTGACAGTGGTTTTGCGAACTCATAGTGTACTTTATGCTTAATTAAGTGTAACTGACTGAGTGTAATTTGTCAATTTTATGTTAATTTATTTATTTTTCCATAGAGAAAAGAAATGTACTCTAAAGAAACTTTTGTATATATTTTTTAGACTTTACGAACATCCGATACATAAAGATGAGAATCGAACCACATTGATTTCGTCGTTTGAAAAGAAACAGGAATATTTAGAAGAATTAAAGTCAGCGAAGGCGGAGCTGAAGAAAGCTAAGAGTATATTGCACATGGACGAATTAAAGAAAAGGAAACGAGTTCTCAGACGACTGGGATACTGCACTACGTCTGATGTTATACATTTAAAAGGTCGGATAGCCTGTGAACTAAGTAGGTATGTACAACATTTGACTATATCGCTAACTATGGGTTTCTGAGGTCAAAACCTCTGTTTACAACATCGTTACCTCTGTTTTGTCATACATAATCTCAGGGTTGACGATATGTTTTATACAAAGATGATGGTCTCAGAAACTTTGTTGTAAAATTAACAAAAATCAGTACTTTAGGAGTGCTTGTGAAGATTTCTCCCTTCTCATAAGTAGTTAAATTAAGAAAATTATACATATTTCATTGGTTTTATAATTTTCTAATAGATGGCTTTAGAAAATAAATCAAATTTTAATTTAAAAAATCTTTTTTTTAGAAAAAAAAGTATTTTTCTTACGAAATAAGCATGCCAAAGCCTAAATCTGAAAGAGTAATAATTACTTAGTAAACGATACCATAAAACTGTAAAGAATCGTAATTTGAAAGTTGTTAAATGAGTAAAATTAAAAAAAGAATTTAAAAAGTATTTGTAAGTGCAATAATATATTGTAAAATTGTCTGTCAGTGCGGACGAACTGCTGCTGACGGAGTTGATATTCAACGGTGTGTTCAACTCTCTGTCGGCGGAGCAGAGCGCCTCGCTGGTGTCGTGCTTCGTGTGCGATGAGAACGCCTCGCAGGACTCCAACACCGGCGAGGAACTGCGCGGAGTGCTGCGTCAGCTGCAGGTAACACACCTTAAATATATTCCATGCTATTCATTTGGCTGGTAACTTTATCTACATATATAAAAAACTAGCTGTCGCCCGCGACTCCGTCCGCGTGGAAATATAAAAAAACCTAATTAGTGCCGCCCACCCATCCATCCATCCACATCACATCCATCTAAACATTCCCATTTATAATATTAGTAAGTTAAATAAGAAGCAGCTCTTCAAATTCGAAAAAAAATGAACAAATATTTAGTATCCTATGTCCGTCTCCTGGCTCTAAGCTACCTCCTCGCCAATTTTCAGGCATATCAATAAAGCAGTTCTTGAGTTATAAATAGTGTAACTAACACGACTTTCTTTTATATATAATATATAAGATGGTGTGTCTGTATGATAATATTGAAATAAAAAGTCATGTTAATATAATAAAACATTTTTTAAAATTTTGTCTGTCTGTGTCTGTCCGCAAGCCGTTGTTTGTTCCGGATAATCTCCGGAACGGCTAGACCGATTTTGAAGGGACTTTCACTGGAAGATAGCAGATGTGTGCAGGAATGTTATAGCCTATTTTTTTTATCCTGCATAAACGAAGTCGCAGGCGATTGCTAGTTTTCATATAAAACGAGCATGTTAAGTGACTGTGTCTGACATTACGTGTGTTGTGCAGGAGTTCGCGCGACGCATCGCCAAGGTGTCGATAGACTGCAACATGCAGCTGGACGAGGACGAGTACGTGGCCAAGTTCAAGTGCACGTTGATGGATATCGTACTCGCCTGGTGCAAGGGAGCCACCTTCTTAGATATATGCAAGATGACTGACGTGTTTGAAGGTTAGTGTATACCAATTTATCATCATCATCATCATCGTCAGCTCATTTTTCGTCCCTTGGAGCTTGGGGCTTGGAGTCTACCCTAAGTTAGGGGTGACTAGGCCATAGACAACCACGCTGGCCAAGTGCGGGTTGGTTGACTTCACACATATCTTTGAATTTCTTCTCAGATATGTGCAGGTTGCATCACGATGTTTTCCTTCACCGCAAGAATGTCGGATAATTGTACATATGTAAATCGGAAATCGAAAAACACATTGGTACAATTTATACCAATTTATACTTTATTTCAAATGTAACAAGTGTTAATTTCGTATACTAACCTAAATATTTTCTTGTTCATTATTTATGTAAGAATTAAAATGCACAAGAAGTTAATAATATACTGGCTAGACTTTTGGTGTCGTCAATTTGTTTTGTAATATTATAATTAACACATTCAATGCCACCTATTAGTGTTCACTTTCATACGAAGAAATCGTAATAGCACGAGACGTGTTAATCTAGCGATTTTCAAAGTTTTAGGTCCAAGAAAATACGATGGCGGGAAATAAACTTGACAGTTCAAAATTTCCTCTGTTTTTTTTAGTGTTCAAAATTTTAGAAATGTTTTGAAACCAATAATTTCGTTTCTAGGAGAAAAAAGTTTGAGAGTCTGTGGTTAAATAAATTAATATATTTTAGGATCAATAATAAGATGCATACGTCGCTTGGAAGAGGTGTTACGTCAGTTGTGTCAGGCCGCCAAGAGCATTGGTAATACTGACCTTGAAGAGAAGTTCTCCTCAGCCATCACAATGCTCAAACGAGATATCATATTTGCAGCCAGTTTGTACATGTAAATGTACTCTGACCATATATAAATTAAGTGATTAATAAATAATTTACAATATTATTTGAGTTTTAATTTTATCATGTTTCCCAATGGAATGAAAAAATCTAACATAACCTCTAAATTTCACTGCCGACAAGTAATGTTGTCTCTATGTTTTCAATGAGTATGAAAAGGATGCATGTAGTTACGTCCCAATGACGTCATTGACAGTTAAATCTTACCAATATTATAAATGCGAAAGTATAGATGGATGAATGAATGTTACAGATGTACAATATAGCCTGGAATAACACATAGGCTACTAAGTTTTTTTTTAATTCCGCGCCGAAGTAGTCACAGGCGACTGCTGGGGAGTTGATAATTTTCAAATAAAAGATCATGACAATGTTATAAGAGAACTTTATTGTAATTACTGTATATCTATAGCATGAATTTGCAAATAACAAAAAGAATAATAGTATTTTACTAGAATTATACTATATAACCATGTTCACAGAGTCGGCCGCGCCCAAAATTACAACTATATCCTTTTCATATATAATATTAAACAATTTAAATAATTTTAAAATAAAATCAATTTTTTAAGAACAATTACTAGATATAAATTTCAAGACCGTATTATATTGTATAAATTTTCATAATTACTTCTAAGAAGCGTAACGAGATTACGGTTGACAAACATTTTAAAAATAAAACGATTAATTTCATTTTTAATTTTTCCAATTCGAAATTCCTAAACATTTAACTAAATAAAAATAGAATGTTGTATTTGGACAGGCATTTAAAAATGTAGTACAAAAAAAAATGTAAGCTTAAAAAATCGTAATCGATAGTGAACGTGGCTCTATTATCATCACTTTTTACTTAAACTTATTTATCGTACAAATTATATTTTTGATATGTCATAAAGGGATCGCTTTTAATGTCCGTGATGATTCTTCTAAAATAAAATCTAATATAATGTTAGTTCTCACTTCTCACATATTAAACATCTTTATCAAAAACGTCGCAATGAAATACGAAATGTAAAAGTTTGCAAAAAGCACAACAAGAATTCAATGAAAAATTTACTTTTGGCTGTTGTAGTCACTTTAGAAACTGTTCAGGACAATTATGTGTTTATAAAACTTTGCATATTTATAGCCAGTTTTTAGATATCTTACGTAATGTTACAACACCAAGATGGAAAGCTTTTAGAAAAGTTATTTTTAAAGATATGAAGTATGGGATAAAAGTTTAATCGGAAATGAGTCTTCGATGGACTGTATAAATATTTTATATACCACACAATACTTAACAAATCGACATTGTCACTTAACCGGACATCAGCACTAAAACTTATAGCCTAACTGTGGGTGTTCACACTTGTATAGAAACATTGTTTAGTCTCTATTATTTTGATATAGAATGTAAGAGACGACAATATGTTTCAATACAAGTTTCACTGCAGTCAAAATCCACAGTGACAAACGTATTTTAATTATCACACACTAAAACGACAATCAAAACGTCCCCTTTAGAACAAATTTTACAGTATAATGAGATCACAAATGGAAAACATCCAAAAATTCTTATTCTATAGTCTCATTTGGTGCCTGAATTGATATGTCCATAAACTAAACGCGAAACGATCTCTATTCCTGTCTATTTTGCGTAACTAAACGAGGTATTTGTTTTATTTCTATACTTACATAGAATTAAAACCCGCTAAGTGCGCCCGCCGCGCGTCTCCCGAGCTCCTAGACTATAGTAAGTATATATACGCTATTATTATCGTTTAATACTTAAAAGTTACAGTAAAACACACAATCTGCGCGCTCGACTGTTTTGGAAGACTCGTCGCTTACCATGGCGAGGCCAGCGAGACAAAACAAATTATGAAAACAAACAGAAAATTGGAGACAGAAGTAAATTACTGTGACCTCCATCTACATTAATTTTCAATTTAAATTTCTTTGATTTACAAATGGAATAATAGCATTTTAATTAGTAGACCATTTTAACGATTTTAAATCATGCAAATAAATGTTTGTTTACATTATTTATCACATCTCGTTGGCATCGCTATAGAAACATTTTCAATACTTTACCAGTCGCTCGCCGCAATAGAAACGAACTCTATACCAACACATCAGCTTCGTAATGAATGAATTCATTTATACAAAATGTACACAATCCAAAAGCGCCCCGATAACTCTGTTACAGAGGTTATGAAAATCTAAATATTGTTCTACACGATGGATTTATAATAAGAACATTAATATCTTAAAAAATTACAGTTTCCGAAGTTATCTTTGAAACCAAAGTGATCAAAAATGTTTTATGCTGGATACAGTAAGAAAAGCAATGATGAAGAGATGATTTTTTTTAATATTTATTTCATCGCTTATAAAGTTTAACTAAAAACAAACATTTTATTTTCATGTTAACTTATATCCAGCATTCGTTACCTGGCTCACCGCTGTCCACATTTTTTTAAATTTATAAATAACGGTTCCTTAAAAACCGTATAGTTAGAACAGTGATTGTGGTTTGGCACACGAAATGCGACAACTAATCACAGAAAACCTTCGTTTTTTTGTACTATTTCAGAACATTGTATTTTTTCAAAGTGTACAATTTTTAATTATTACATATAAAGGCGATCGCTTAAATTCATAAAACATTTTATTTTTAGTATAAAAGCTGTGAATTTTACGTAGCAACAATAATTTATTTAACACTGTATTTTTTATAGAAAATTTATTATTGGACAACAGCAAGCTGTAAGGTGTAATGGTTCACGGAATAACAGCACTGCACAACCGCAATAACATGACATTTGAATACAATTGCATACTGCAGTCAAAGGAGAATAAAATATGCAGGTGCCTCTCATGTTACCGTGAACGCTTAGTATTTATGAGATTTTATTCTAAACTGATTTCGGTAAAAACAATTCATAGATTAACTGTAATATATTTAGTCCCCACAATCCGAATTCACATAAAAATATGTATATAAATTATTCTTGGATGTGAATGAAAGCGTACTAAATAAATTATAACATAGTATTCGAATAACGTAAATAAACATTAACAGTAAATATCTAAATCGATTTTTTTTAGCGAAACACGTTTCAATAATTTCTTAATAGGCCATTAAATTTAGTAAAGATATTTACAATAATGATTAAATTGTGTACAATTTCAAATTACAACATTACTAACATTAGATGAGAAATCATCTAACCGTTTAAGAACAAGACTGGCCGGAAAAGACGGCGCCGCGAATACGTCTTGTAAAAAACATTCTTTTTTATCACCAACGATTTAATTATTGATAAATTTAAATGTTTGTGTCATAAAACAAATAAAGTTTGTTTTTACCTAATCTAATAATACTTTCTTTATAATATCGAAAATACGCAATATCTAAAGATGTTGCTAGTAAGAAATAGATTAATTTGAATCTATTATTAAACATATTTATTTAAGAGTATTGTCATTGTTGATTCCGTTCCAGAAAATTCTATCACTTTTCATTTAGTCATCAAATTGTTTTTAGAAAACAAATCTTGATGAATAAATGTGCTTAAACTCAATAAAATTTTAAGTTTAGAAACGACTAATAAGTAATTAATATCAAAAATAATACTGTTTAAAAATAATAAAATAGTTGCGCGGCGTCGCTTCGGCTGAATGAACACTTTACAATATATTATGTAGGTACACTGGCACACGTAAATATAGCAAAAAAAAACTACAACCCATTTATATATTTACATCGAAACTAGACGTCTAAATTACTTTTCCGATTAATTTGAATGATAGACACTGAAAGAAATTGAATATGACTCAACATAGGTATATTTTTCTAAAAAACTGTTTTAAACGATATCATAAATTTTACATTAATTTATTTTGTCAATACCTATAACATTAGCTATAATTTTTAAGATCTTCAAGTTTGCGATAATCTTCAATTAAATATAACAAGATATTATTTTCTTTACCTACCTAATGTTTAAACGTATCGTTACAATAGAGATGACGACTTAACAGAGAATGGGGAGATTATTTCGAATACAATATTAATCTAAGAGAAGTTGATTCTTGTCACGAGACAAGAAAAGTTCACTTGGTCGGACCAAAACTTCAGTCGATTGTATCGAGCCACACGCTCCTAGGGAGAAGGGCGCGGTGGCGCTACCTACATTCCTGTCACAGTATACACACGAACCGTCCGTTGCGCACCAAAACAATACTGATTAACATTTTAAATGGCGAAGCTCATCAATGTCTTTGTTGTAGCGAATCGAACCATTCGCGTTGTGTTTGACACGTGTCCTAAGCCGTGTGGTGTCGTCGAGTTAGGGTGTGCGGGAAGCCCGCGGGTACGGCCGGGCGGAGTCACGTGGTGAGCGCTAGACACGCCGCCGCTGTCAGCACCAGAGCACTCAGCGGCCGGAACGATACACCGCGCCCACAGGATTGTATTTCAATTTCCTGGGAAAAAGTCATTGATATTAAAATAGCTTAGGTATGGGTTTAAAATCAATGCATGAATGTGGCGAGCAACATGTATGTACCTCGGGGTGATAGGAGCCGCAGTGCTTGGGGCGGCGACGATGCGCGCGCGGCGCATGACGGCGGCAGGCGGCGCGCGGTGGAGCCTCACGGGCGCGCACGTCCAGCCGCTTGGCGCCGCACGGGCACAGTGTATCCACCACCAGGAGGATCAGGTTGCTGTGGGGGATCTTCTGTACGCTAAACGGCCTAAAGAAAATGTAATGTCTCAGTCAATTAGCAGAGAATGGCAAAGGTTGTGAGATAAGTTTTTACTACAGCTTACTTTTATCATTCACAAGTTACCTTTCGCAACCGGAATTGTGACAATTTGTGAGTTTTCCTTTCAAAGGTTGCGCTGTGTTGAGCCGAGCTGACTGCAGGCTGAAGAGCTCGGCGCTGGTGTCGCAGGGGCGCACGGCGGCAGAGCGCGCGGCCTCGCGTGGCGCTTCCCGCGGCGCGCCTTCGCGCTCCTCCCAACCTTCGCGGCCTTCGCGCCCCTCGCGGCCCTCG